ATTTTCAGTTCAGGAGCAGGCAGATATATTTCATTTTACTGTAGTTATCCATTTGACAGTTTTCATAATAAAATTAAAGGAAAATATTTCGGTTCATTATCATGGTTGCATTATGTATCTAACAATAATAAGCAGTGAATATCTCGGTATCACCTTGTTTCCAGCACAGAATTTGTTGATGAATGATGGAACGTGATGGGTCTGGTGGTGATGGAAAATTATCTTTTAATGCATTCTGAAAATCACTCCATGTCTCAAATTTGATTAGTTGTCTGTTGTACCACTTTAACGCTTCATCAGAAAGGAATCCAATGGCCCATTTACGACGTTGCTGTTCTGATAATTCACATGCATCAAATACTTGATTAATTGTCAATAGCCAATCATTGACACGTTGTTGTGTAGTACCACTAAATTTTGATAAGTTTTTCAAAACTTTCTCTAAGAATAATGTATTAACGCGATCCATTTGTAATGCCACAATAAATGGAACCACATCGGCTAGTGATAGTGACTGGATTATTTGGATTGCTTGCACTTACTGTGATGTTGAATTGACAGTAAGCCGGCTAGTGCACCAGTTGTTAGCCCGCACATACTTTATTCGTAAGAATAAAATCATAAAACGTTAAAACCAAAAAACTCTTCCTCTGTACAAACAAACACTGTATATATTAAGAAAGAATGTTGACTCAACCAGAACTGAGTCAACATTCTTCGTGGTCATGAGAGATGAAAACAGACGAAGAAAGAATGTTGTGAGTCAACATTCTTTCACTAGAACTTGAAAAGAGAAAAAGAAGAAGAATGTATGACTATGTCAGTATTGCTGACATAACATAGTGGCCAATTTACTATTTCAATACTAAAAAGTATCGTACGAACGGGATAGCTGGTTCTGTGCGTTAACCAATAGAAATTCAAAATGGCTGCCATGTCTAAAATTAAGCAAAGAGCTAGTCCTTTTCTCAAAAATAATGCGAAAAAGTGAAGTTCTCGACAGCGCTTCATCGTAGAGAATGTTTTTGTTTTGGATTGAAAGAGCATATCCAGCTCTACGGCGTGACAGAGCCTTTTTTTTCAAATTAGGCTTTTGTTTTAATAAAACAGAATCTCTGGAAAACTGCTAGCGGTTTTTGGGAGATATTGAACTTCTAAGCCCTCTTCCCCCGCAAGAAAAGCAAAAATTTAAAACCGGGCTATGTCAAGCACTAAAGGTGGATGTCCTATATCGAACAAAATTAAAAAATTGTCTATGATGAAGCCTCTACGAAAATTCTTGTTTCGAAAAAAGGCTATTTTTTGCCGAATTTTTTGTGTCAAGGATTGAGTAGTTTGGGATTTTCAGAATAAAAAATTCGTAATTCTCCAGAATGAGGCCTTTTTGGAAATTTGTCACTTATGGAACTCGACGTGCTCTTCAAACTGAACACCATCAAAATATTTTAATCAAAATTTGTTCTGGACTTCTGATAATCAGGATTCCACAGAACCACTAAAGAAGAGTCATCAACAGAAAGGAATATCAAAATGAGCATCGAAGAGTACCCATGAAAGTGTTTGTTATCAAAAAAAGCGAAGAACATTTGGGAATGGTACCTCGTAAGAAAAAAAGCAAATGCAGTCGAGCTTAGAAAATTTTATGGAATATATTGTCAGCATCACGTTTTCTTTCGTTGTCGTCTATCATGGAGTTCTTGCAAAATGATTGAAAATCTTAGTCTGAAGGAATAGTAACATTTCTTCCAGTTGAAATGGAATCTGAGCAAAATTTTTTAACCAATTCGTTTAGATTAGCTGTTAGAGGATTGTATTTTACATGTGTTTCATATAGAATTCACAACAGATGTCTTTTGATATGCGTAATGGAGGTTGAAGACTATTTTCAACTTTTGTTCTCAAGACTACAACCAACTGATAAAATCGGCCATATAACGAACAGGCCGATAATGAAACCTCTTTGCATCCAAGAATATAATCAAAATTGGGATTCGGTGGATAAGTCAGAGATACTACTTATGTATACGCTCATGTATACGCAAAACAATCAAGTGGTACAATAAACTATTTTCCCATTTGCTCAATTTATCCATGCTGAACGCATACATATTGCACAAGAGAATGAAGCAAGTGAATATTGAGTTCACTGATTTTCGCCTGCAAGTGATTCGACGAATCTTTGACAAATATGGAAGTCAACGAGATTCAAGAAATGGCCGATCTTCTATCGATAATCTACTAAGACTGACAGCTCGTACCTTTCTATCACTTTTTAGCGAAGAACGATGTGTTGTATGCAGCATGACTGTCAAGCGACCAGAGCATGGATACTTATACTTGTACTTGTACTTTCTGTACTTTTTAAGTACAAAGTAAAAGTACTTGTACTTTTACTCGTGTACTTTCAACAAGTACTTTGTACTTGCATTATGAGTATCTTTCAAGCACTTCAGGTACTTTAATTCCATTCAGGAGTAGTTTCGCAGTTCAAGAATGATGTGTCAGTGAGATAACACCTATGTATGAATGCATTTTGTTACGATTTGTTCATTTGTTTTGTTAAAGAAGCATTTCTTCAGTGGGGTCTGATTAGCATACAGTGTTCAGTAGTATTTTAGTGATAGGTGAAAAATTTAATAATTCGTACTCCACACATTTTCGAGAGATGGTAGCACATGGCGCTTTAGAAACTGGGATCGCACAAAAAGATAAAATCCATCAATCAATCAGTTATTTCAACAGGAATGTGTCTAGGCCGTTACAAAAAAAGAAAAACTTAAATGAATGTAACGCCTATGTGCACGCCTACATCACGACAGTAGAGAAGGACGTATTCACCAAAGATGGTAGCGAGTGACTCATCTCTAAATTTGATTTATCTCTTATAACTAGCATTCCATTTTTAAAAGCACAAATAAACATGGAGTCCTTACCGCAGTTTTTTGCCTTTCTCCGATCAAACGATAATAAGATTAGAGGAAAATGTAAAATTTGTACAAGAACATATATAGACCAAAAAGGTTCTACTGGTAATTTTCGTAAACATTTGAGACGACGTCATGCTAAAGAATATGAACAGAACTTGAAAAGTACAGCAAATAGTCAATCCGAATTGGAGAATGACACTGATAATCAAAATATGACGTATAAACAGGAAGAAATAAACGAAGCTATAACCACGAATCTGATTATCAAATGTAATTTACCAGCAGCTATAGTTAAACATCAAGGTTTTCGAAACTTTATGAGTTTACTAGCACCAAAATGGAAGCCAACATCAACGAGAAATATCAAACAAAAAATGATACCAGCTTTGTTGTTGACCGTACAAAAGTGTATCAGTGAAATGTTAAAAGAAGTAACATATTAAAAGAAGTAACATACTTAACTATTACAGTGGATGTCCGGATTGATCGATGTGGACGAGCGTTTATGGGCATAACGGGTCATTATATAGACAGTGTTTATAAACCTCAAGCTTTATTACTTGATATTGTTCGACTGAAAGGATCACACTCAGCTGAAGATATTCGAAATACGACGGAGCAAATACTTGATCGCCTTAGTATCAATGACAAAGTTTATAAAATCATTACTGATAATGGTTCATCAATGATTAAAGCATATAAATTTGGTCTATCTGTGAGCGATCAGGATTTCGAAGATGAGGAGGCGAACGATGAAGACTCAATGGATGTTGATGAGCAGATAGGTTATCAGGTATAATATATTTCTTTCGAAAGACAGTTGATAAGTCTCTTCCCTCAGATTTCTTATTCAATATCGGCCTACAATATTCCTCTAATTTATTTACGCTACTTTTGAATATTTTAGGAATCAACAATCTCATGGAAATTAATTGATTGCCATGATGGAGAAGAAGATGGTGTGGATTACGAACAAGGGAAACGATTATCATGCTTTGCACATACCCTACAATTAGCTATACGAGACGGATTGAGAAACGTACTCCACATATCAAAGACATTGGCGAAATGCAAAGTGTTGGCTCGAAAGTCACATAAATCTAGAAAACTTAAGGAAATTCTGGAAGAGGTAGATAAAACGATAGTCAGATCAAATGTCACACGTTGGAGTTCAGAATATTTACTGATCAAATCAATCCTCAAAATAGGGAAAAAGTCCGTGGATGACATAACGAACTGTATCGGTGACAACAAACTACAGTTTACTAACAATGACTTCATCGTTTTACAAGAAGCTCACGATATTCTAGATCCGTTTGCTGAAATTACTATGCGCTGCCAGTCAGAAACTGCAGTTACTGCTAGTTTAGTCGTTCCATCTATAGTTCATTTATTAGCACACCTTCGTGACATGAAAGACAACATATCTGTCTTACAGACAACGATCAAACAGCTTGACAAATCCACTAACAAACGTTTTTGTGGCATCACCGAAAGGCTCACACAAAAGCCAATTCAACCTGACGCTCCATTCTGTGATCCTGCTTATTTCGTGGCTACAGTGCTCGATCCCCATTTTAAACTTTTTTGGCTTCGACAGATGAAATACAAACCGACTGACGAGTCAAAAATGAAACAGTCGTTAATTCAATTAGTGTTAGATGAATGTGAGCGGGAAACAGCTCATTTTCAGTCGAATTTCGCATCTGTCGCAACACAATCTAAAGGTACAAAAACAATTAAGAAAAGCAAACTTTTTCACTACATCAATACTCCTCCGTCTGATACTACTCAAGCGCTAGATCCCGCTGCAGAACTTACTGCTTATTTAACAGATCCGATACAATCGCAATTTTTACCGTTTTGGTCAAAAACGTCATTGCCTGTGCTAAAACGAGTAGTTATACGCGTTCTCTCAATTCAAGCTTCATCCGCACTCATAGAACGAGTTTTTAGTCAAGCAGGACTGATAATGTCACCTCGTCGAACGTCAATGCGCGAAGATTTATTTAGAAGTCTAGCTTTTTTACGGGCAAATCAACATATCTTATAATTCACATATTTATTATCGCTAAGTCTGACATGTTCATCGGATTTTATCATCATCATATGTTTTCCTGCCGTTTCATTGCTCTATATTTATGTTGTTATATTGTGTTTATCGTGTAGTTTTTATCACTTATCCTACATATATTATATGTCATGTTTATTAAAAAAGATATGTAATTATACTTATTCAAGAATAAAAACGCTGTGGGTGAAAATACAGCATGGAGAGAAGTTTTCTACCTTATATTGCGAATCATAGTAAAAGCTAAAAAAGCACTTGAACTACAAGTACAAAGTACTTTTTGAAAATACCGAGTAAAAAGTACAAGTACAGTTCTAAAGTACAAGTACTTTTACTTTTACTTGTATACTTGTACTTGTCCATGCTCTGCAAGCGACCAAAGAAAAGATCTGACACTAGATACGAATGTGCAGATTGCAATGTTGCCTTATGCATCACAGATTGTTTGTCACAGAGCATCATACTTTGCGAGTATATTAATAAACTCGAATACAGGATAGAATTAATTAGCTTTTCAAAAGTTTACTCTTATATCGGGTACGGCATAAAGAATGATGCCGTCAGTATTTCGTCAATATCTCGATGAGTTTTCATCGTAGAGACTTGAGCTTAGTCTTAAAATATTCTTCATTAAATTCTCTACAAGTTTTACCACTTTGTAACACAGATAGAAAAGATCTGAAATATTCCATTCATTTTTTAGCTGCACAGACTCTCTTTAGCTTTATCGATGATTACGACCTCTGTCTCTGACAGTCTGCAGATTAGATACCACACTACATCAATTACATATATGAAAGTGAATGGGAGCACTTCGGACGTTCTTAATACACGACATCTATTCCTTTAACAGTTCAGGGTGAGCGTGCTTAAGCAGAAAAAAGCTTTCCACTCGAAATCAATAGCATGAATAGCTGTAATAAATAGTGTTTAGTTGCAACAGATCTCACTGAATAAAATTTTGCCACAGAAAATACAGCTTCTGACAACTAAAATCTATGACGTCATTGACCATGGCGGTAGGTTCATATTGGCGATTTTTCTTTTCTTCATTCCGATAAACAAAACCTTGATAGAGTTAAAATTCAGATTATGTCGTAACATCGCATGTTTTCGTAACATTGCATATTGTTTGGCACTTCTATAGATTGAGCACATCCTCTACTACCACTGTTATAAGAATAGCACAGACTCTACTTTTATTTTAAAAACAATCAAGAAAAAAGAATTAAAAGGACCGTATAGTTGTCCGAAGAGCCTGATCAAAAATGGCTTTTTAAACTTTTCGATCGTATAATCATGTCTAGCGGAGAAAATTAACTATATCTGACGTTTTTAACTGATTCTGATTGTTATTGAATGACTTATGAATTTTTTCATACTAATTGAAAATAGCTGAATACCCTTGGTTTTCAACAGATTTTAGGACTTTTTCAGCAAACGATTAACAAATATTGTCACAAGACTCAGCATGATGAGTCACCTATGACACTTGTTTTTGAGGCTGTCACTGAACACCAGTTCTTGAACTTCCGATACCGTGTCCGAACTGCTGAAAATGAAGATCTCGCTTGACTCCGATTTTGAGGAGGATACTTTGGATTATGAACCTAGAAAGAGAATCAATATAATCTCGTTGAAAAGTTATGAGAAATCGCCTGCCCATATCGATTTTTTTCAAAACTTTTGCGGAAATGTGCGTTTTTTTGGCACTTTTCGGTCCACACTAATGCAACGTCACATGCCAAAATAAATAAAAAAAACGATAGCGTTTCGTCTTTTATCGCAAAATCCTTGTTTTTGCGTAATAATGCATGGGTTTTTCAATACTATTTTCGCAAAAAGCCTTTTGGTTTGACAATGCAAAAAAATGATGGCTCATTGCGATGAGTTATCAGAACTTATGTATATCTGAAAAAGCTAAATATGTGCAACCCAATATTTTTATAAATAGTTCTTTTCCACCGAAAATTTAATTTGGGATTTTGCTAAGTGAATCCTCTTAGTTTGAAGGGGAACGATCTGCTGCCAGGTAGGCTCAATGAACTTGTCCGATGATTGTGTGAGAAACACCGCACAAAGCATTATAATTACACACAGTAATATTTTATGCATAAAAAACAATGTGTTTCTTGCGTTTTATCGCAAAAGTTTTTGTTCTGCAACGAAACGCATAAAAAATTGATGCGTGTAATGTTACGTGAGACACAAAAGTTTTACTGGAGATTTTTGAAAACAATGTAAATTTTTTACAATATTTTGACTTAAATTTCTCACGAAATATCGACATGGGCTGTTTTTCCAAAGTCTCTCTAGAAATCCTGTTTTGAAAAACCCTGTGGGAAAGTTTCTGCTTTTAGACACATGCTTCCAAGTCTCCTTCTGAATGGCAAAAATTGAAGCTACTTTCAAAAGGTATTTAGAACACAGTCATGTGCTATCAGTTAAACAGATGATAGCATGAAATAACTCGTGAAGTGGAATGGTTTTGTCTCACTGCTGAATAGGAAGTTAAGCTTATAATTCATGGTTGGATTTATCTTTTTGAACGAACAATCAGAAAGCGTTTGCTATAAACAACATAAATAGTGTTTTGAACTGTAGAAGACGCATCAGAAATTAACAAGCAAACTGTTCTAATAGTTATTTCAGTACTATATTAGCTTTGTAGAAGTAATTTGTGGAGATCTTGTAGAGAATCGAAAAAGTTTGGTCCCACCCACGAAAAAATATTTCATAAAAGTTTGCGTTCCAATGCGTTTATTTTTATGTTAACATGTTTTCGCTAGAACTTAAACGCAGTTTTAAAACGCGTTCAAACGCATCATATTGTTGGTAAAAACGGCTATAAATCAACTAAAACGCGCTTTTACAGACGCATTTAAATGCATCTTTTTTCGAATAAAAAGCGTTTAAACGCTATAGTTTTCTTTTCTTCCTCCCAGCATCGGTTGTTTTGCATATTTTACCCTAAAGACGTATTTTATTCATTCGCATCACTCTACTTAGCATTTCTCAATAACTTCATCCTCACGATTTAAGAAATTTTTTTAAGTAAGTATCGCAAAGATCGTACATGAGGTCGAAATACATGACATATTCGAATATCTTCTTCTGTCGTAGAAGAAAATGCTGACCATCAGTAAAAAATAGATCCCGTATTCTCAACATCTATAACTGTCTAAGGCAAGATTTCACTATAAAACTAAATAGGAAGAGATATTAGACTATGTCATGTATTGCGACTACATGTACAATCGTTAGGATACTTATTCAGAAAAATTTCTGAAATCTGGAGGATGAAGTTATTGAGAAATGCTAAGTAGAGTGATGCGAATGAATAAAATACATATTTAGGGTAAAACATGTAAAACAACTAAAGCTGTATATATATGTCGAAGTATAATCGAGAAATATATGAGAGAACTTAGAGAAGCCTAAGACTGAAGCTGTTTTAGAAATAACAATCAAAATTTTTCTAAAGTTCAAAACACCGTTATCGTAATTTCTGTGACGAGTTAAGAAGAATTGTAGAAAGCAAGAGCGTGTTTACAAATAAAACTGCTGTGTACTTATTTTAACCTCAACCTCGAAGAGAGTCTGAGGTGAATGATTCACCTTGATTGCATTATGTTCCCGAAGAGAAAACCGGGTAAAACATGGTGAAATCAGTGTCTTTACTACCTTAAGAAACACTTTCTTTTCAAAAGTTTT